GCCAGACCCAAAGAAGCTGCAAGAAGGAGGCTTGAAAGAGGCCATATCTTTTCTTCAAGTCCATGCCCTTCAAGCCACAGGCATACCAACTGAACTTCAACCACCGGAGGTGTCCGTAGGCGACAGGAAAGAGAAGTTTGAAAAAATAGCAATTGGAGGCAGTAGTGGAAAAATAATACATGGTAGTTGTTTAACAAATGAGTTATACAGAAATTATAAAGAGTTATATCTAGGTATCCTGGCTATGTATAATGTTGCCAAATAAAACAATCAGAGACACCAAAGTTAGACTAAGTAAATGAAAGACTTTTATTATGACTTCCGCTATTTGGGTTTACACAAATAGAAATCTGTGAAGAAAATTTTACCAGTCTTAAAAACATTTGCCAGGGGTAGGGTGGGGAAATGTAGACATTATGGATCCATTAATTCAATTATAATTTCTTTAACATTCATCACATTATCATTTGAATTCTGTTTCTACAAAAACTGTGCAAGTTTGTAGATAAGACAGAATTTTAGCAGTGCAAAGGTAGAAAAATCACAGAGTGGAAGAGAATATAAAGAAGAAATACAAGAAATAAGATTCATGAAGGATGAGGTAAGAACAGACAAAGCTAGAACTTTGGTGCATGATACAAAGCTCTACAAAATGGTTTAGTAGAGGAACTCTAGTGTCCATTTAAAGCTATTTAATGCATCATATTCTAGTCCCTGAAGCTTCTGCCACACCTATGTACTTTCTGATGATCTTATCTTTTAGAGGCAAATACAAAGTATATCAGATTAAATGTAAAACAAAACAGTTGGTAAGGGAGAAAAAGTTTTCATAAAATAAATGGGGCTTTTTTGTCACCTACTGTGAAAAAAAATCATCATTATATAATGACTACTTTATTTCTTCAACTTCCTCAACTATCTCAAACACAGCAGAGAACCAGGAGGAAGTTGCTTTTTGTAAAAAAAAAAAATAAAAAGCTTCTAACAATAAAAATAAATGTCACAAAGGTCACACAGTACAACTTATAGACTAACTGACAGGGAAGTCCCTTTAGTCCTCGGTCAGAGCCTACTTACTCTTGGACACTATTCTAGGAACCGTAATTATCTGTTTTTCTGTAAAACAGACTGCCACCTAAAAAGGGTTGGGGAGTGGGCACAGTTTTGTTAGCTACAGAAGCAAAGGCAATAGGAGAAGGAGAAAGCTGGTACTGAAAAAAAAAAGAGAGGCAAAAAAGCCATAAACACAAGATACATGTCCTCAAAAAGGCATGACTAGGGGACCATTTGTCTCCAGAGTAAATGGCGTGTAGGCAGCCACAGAAGTCCCTAAGGAAAAGAGCACACACAATAAGTGATGCCTGTAAGGACAATCCTAACTAACAGGGGGCTATTCCAAATCTTCACTCAAACGGTTAAAGAAAATAAGAACACTAAGAAGCATGTGTTGAGTCTGTAGGTAAGTTAAAAGCACTCACCAATAGTTCCAGGCAGACAAGGCCCTACTCCATCAACAGCTTTGTGACTGGCATTCATTTGCACTATATGCAACAGATTAAGTAAGCCTTGGATCATTTTGGATTTTGATGTACATGATTCTTCCTGCTTGCAACTCAGAATGCCATCCTGGAACTTACTTATTCAGGGTAGGCACTCTCATCTAAAATGAGTGCACACAGATAACAGTAATTTTTTTCCATGGTTGTAAACAAAGTATAGACCAGAAACCCGACATAAGTAAGTGTTCTTATCTTTCATCTCCTTCTTTAAGCTAAATCTGGGGACCACTGATTTATATGTGAGACTTCAGGATTGGAAGTAAGGCTAAGAATGAATGACATTAGGACAACTTATAATGTCATGTGATAAAGCTACTTTCACAGTAAAGTAGCAGGAATCTCAATACAGTAGTATGTCAAAACCCAGGTAACTGATAACAGGATAAATGACACTTATCCCTCAAAACTAATTTTGAAGCACCGCCAAATGTTCCAGTCTAAATCCAAATATGTAACATCAGCTATCACAATCAATTTTAATTTATAACACCTCATGTTTCTCTCTCTTTGTTATTATTAGTTTCAGGCGTAGAGCATAGTGATTAGACATTCATACACTTTACAAAGTGTTCTCCCCGATATTTCCAGTACCCACCTGGCACCACACACAGTTTATTCTTGACTGTATTTCCTATGTTATACTTTATATCCCCATGACTGTTTTGTAAGTACCAGTCTGTACTTGTCAATACATTCACCTTTTCCACCCAGTACCCCAACCCCCCTTCCTTCTGGCAACCATCAATCTGTTCTCTGTATCTACCAGTCTTTCTGTTTGGTTTGTTCATTTATATTGTATAACAACACTTGAGATACCAAGTTAATATTGAAACTGAGCAGACCTGGGGACTTGATTGAGTCAACATCATTTGAGACTTTGGAATGCTCCAGGAAAGAGAGATCATTGGGGAGGAGCCCTTGAAAGCAGGAACGAACCATAATCACAAAAGATCAATGTGGACATTTCATATTTAGCACTTGGAACACCTTTCACAAAAATAACGCAAGGACAAACTGAGCTAATGGCATTTTTCTGTGTGACATCTTCAGGTGGGTTTGTGCTTACAGAATTAGACAATAATCTAAACAGAGAAGAGCAATAGTTCAATAAAAAGTTAATCATAATTCAATGTGAGGGCAAAAAAATACCCACATAAAGGGATGGAAAATTTGAAAGCCACACACAAAAAGAAAAGCCCCTAGCAAATTTATTCATATTCCAAGGGGATCTTCTTTAGCACCTACCTGTTATCCTCAAATCTTGGTACCTTGAGGGATAAAAATGAACCTGAGCATGTGCAAGAAAATAGCTCTATATTGCCCCCTAGTGCTGGGATGTCCAACTTCTCCTTAAGCTAGAAACTACAAGGTGAGTAGTTCCTCTACTTCTGGTTACTTCCTGCTGCCAGCCTCCTGAGAGCTAAACATAGCTCAATCCTCTGCCCACAGATTAGGAAACAACCAGGCTATTTTTAGCACGTGCATCTTAGGAATGGCAATGGCCCAGCCTCTGATGGCAACAGAATGTGTGTGGCCTGGCTTAATGAACTCACCTCTCCGAAGGGTGTAACCCTACTCCATAAAGTGGCCAATGACCACTTGAGAGCTCTGGGGCCTATTACTAAGTGATCCTGCTATGTGGATAACAAGAAATAATGACACAGAAAGGACAATGAGAGGCACACTAGCAAAGGGAATCAGGAAGATGACAGATGCCAGGACAGGCTTGATAAGTGAGAGCGGTAGGAGAAATGATATGGGACAGGAACAATAAAAAAATAGAAGTCAGAGGCCAGGAATGTTGGGCATTGTCATTCAGGAGACATTTGTCTAGGAAGAAGCAATATTTTGAACTGGACATTTATTTTACATGAGAAAGAACAAAGGTTGGTCTGATCTGTTTCCTCCCAGGGTACAGCTGGTGCTGTGGCTCCTTTGATCACTTTCTCCCAGTCCTCTGCAGCTCCTGTGATTAGAGATAGATCCCTTGGCTGCCCTTTGATCAGCAACTCAAGCAGCCTGCAGGTGCCATGTGCCATCATATTAGCAAGTTGTAAGAAGCAGCCACATTAACCTTGTCTGATAAACGTGACACCATAGATGGCTGCACATACAACAAATACAAATAAAGTGTACAAAGGTCCAAGGAATCCTTATTTAATGTGGTTTTGTACTCAAGAATTCCCTGTGCTTTCTTAGAGTCGAATACTTTAGAGAGTTTAAATTCAAAGTTAAAACTTGGAAACGCCCCAACACATAGAGCAAAAGTTTCTGTGACTTAAAAATACAGTACACACCATGCTGATTTTCCAGGTATGCTGTTCTTGTTCATTTGGCCCAGTTAATGAAGTGACAGCTTCTTGCACTTGCAACGGATGACATACAAAGCACGAAACACAAGTACGTTTCTTTTCAAACAACATTAGGAGCCACCACTTGTAAACAGGGTGTTTAATATTCTAATTTTAGACAGCCTACATTACCATTGTGGTTTCATGTGCAGTATAACATTTCTATTTACAAGGTATTCTCAAAAATGACTTCATAATGGTAGATCAAGAGAAAAAGAGTTTAGAAATTGAATGATGTAAATCATATGGGTTCAGAGGCTAAGCAAATTACACACCCTGAAGCTGCCCTTGGCTTTATGAAAGGAGCCTTTCTCCAGCTCTGTGCAATCCCAGCCCAAGGGAACTTGCATCTGAGAGTTTTCTAAACATTTCAGGTACACTTGAAAGCTGAAAGTAATTCTCATTTCCTATGCAGGATTAAGTCGTTTCCCGCACACACAAAATAGCAGTCATTCACCAACACATATAAAAACACACCACCAGTAAGGTAAGGACTTCAGAGTACACACAAAGGCACATAAAAAAAAAGCACAAGGGAAATACTTTTTTAAAATTCTCCCTAAAAGCGTCCATTCGGCCTCTTGACCTCTTTATTTCCTATCTACTTACTGATTGATGCCTTTCCACTTAAAAGTGCTTCAATTAATGCGGCTGATACATTTCCTGGTACAGCCCCCTCCCGAATTAAAAAAAAAAATGAGTAAAGTCAAACATGCCAAGACTCATTCATTTTGGATTCGTTTTGAGAGGTAGTTCTTGAACTTATAACTCTGGCAATGAGAGGTCCTGCAACGTGCGTCTGAACTTCACCATCGCTCGCAGAAGGTCCCCCTCTCTAGCTGGGGCTGCAGTGGCACCCCTGTTGCCCTGATCCAGCTTTGCGGCAGCTCCCGAAGTTGCAAACTGCACTTAACCTCCAAAACCCCATGCCCATGAACGCAGCGCGCATTTGCTTGGGTACAGAACGCTTATACCCTCACAGGCTGGTGCACATCACACACCAACGCACAATGCCAACGGAACACACACACACACACACACACACACACACACAGACTCGAGAAGGGGGAGAGTGGAGGGAAAGACTCACCGTTCTGTTCCTTGTTGTTGGAGAACTGGAATTTACTACTCAGGTTGGACTCAGCCTGAGTCGTGTGTCTCTGGCCGGCCAGGGCACATATCAGCAGGAGAAGCCCGAAGAGGAGCATTTGGCTGACTGGGGCGAGAGCTCACTCACGGCGGGCACTTGGGAAGCAGCGACTCCCGAGTCTCTTTCACCACCGCCAGGGGAAGGCTGCACTGGGGTGGAAGCTCCGAGCCTGCTCTGGCAGCAGAGAATCGCAGGGTAGTTTCCACATAATCCCATCCAAAACTTTTTCCTAGAGCCCTCTTCTGTGTCTCCAGTTTTTGAAAAGGATCAAAGCAAAACCTGGACCTGAACCAGTTTCCCAAGGTTTAAACAAATCCTGAGCTGTGCCGAAGTGGTGGGGGTGGGGGTGAAGTCGAGGGAGGAAAGAGGGGGGTGGGGACGCGGGGGAGCCGGGGCAGCGCGAAGAAGTCACCAGCAAGTTGCTGGGAGCACCTGTCAGTTTGGGGGACTGGACAGAGGCGAAAACTCAAGGGTCGCGCGAAGACAGCCTCCAAGTCAAGTTGGCTGCGAGCACTTTCTGATCAATCACAAAACTGCCAATAGATGAGGCTCTCCGGGCGCCCCTCTCCCCCGCCCCACCCCCATCCCCGGAGGGGGAGGGGGAAGAAACAAGGCGAGCGCGCCGCGGCGGGTCCTCGGGGCAGAGGAGCCCGAGCGCGGCCGGGAGGGGTCGGGGGACGCCGGACCGAGGCCGCCCTGTGCGCGGGCGGAGGGAGGCCGCGGGGCTCCCGCTCCCCAGCCCCGTGCGCAGCCTGAGCCCGGCCCCGACCGCCGCAGCACGGATCCCGGCACCTGGCTTGAGTTTTCCGCGATCAAAGTTCACCTTGTTTGGGGTGCTTCCCTCGCTTCTCGGAGCTCAGGGAAATTCGGCAGGTCGGGGTCACGGCGGGACTCCGGTAGCTCCGGGCGCTCTCCCCCCACGCCTCGGGCTCCGCGCAAACCACGGGGCTCGGTGCCGCGTCTCAGCACCGGGCAGAGAGAGAAGGCCGGGCGGGCCCAGGCTCCGGTTTGTCCCCTCCCCTTCTCTACCTTCCCCCTGCCGGCGGAGTCGGGAGGAGGGGGCTGTGGGCCCAGCCCGAGAGGAGTGAGCGGCTGGCGAGCTGGGAGGCTGAGCCGCTCACTCTCCGGCAGGGGGACAGCCGAAGGAAAAGGCGGGGGTCACCGCCTACGGGAGGAGCACCCCTGGGTCGCCTTCTCTGCCACTGGGTAAGACCACCAAGTGGCCGTCCAACAGGTGCTGGCACTGTCTGGAGTTAGTGCGGGGCTCCTACAGACAGGACCCAAAGGGTCCAGGAGAAGAACGCGGTCAGAGCAATGGCCCCTGGCTTCCTTGCCACACAGGACGCCCCTGGCCCCAAGTAAAGAGCAAGATGGATGGTGAAGGGTGCTGCAAAAGCAAAAAGAACTGAGGAAGAACTTTCTGCAACTCTCCTTCCCCGCCCCCTGTGGCCGAGACTTGTCATTAAATTCCAAGGGGATCCCCATTCCCAAAGGGCTTGGCCAGAGTTTCTGCACCAACACAAGAATGAAAACTGGCATTCAAAGATTTCCCTCTAGTGCCCAGCTCTCTGAAGTAAGGTCGATAAAGGAAAAGTAAAGACAAACGGACAAAATAATAACAACATTCATTTATTTAACAAATACTGTACTTATTGAATGCCTAAGTGTCAGACACTGTTTTAGGAGCAGAGTGTTGTAGTGAAAACACAAAGTATCTGCGTTCTAGTTGGGCTTCACTAAATTCGAGCAAATCAGAAATATTCCCCAACCTCTGGTTAAGTCAATCCAAACAACTCTGCCAGGCATGGTGCTCCAGGAGGGATTGGAAGGAAGGGTACCTGTGCTGAAATAGGGGTGGAGTCCCCAATGGCTCTGTTTTAATGAGTTGCCCTTCCTGACCTTACAAGATCATCTACTGAGTATTAAGGAGAACTACCCTGAATAAGGATCCAGGGATGCTTAGTCAGGGGCCTCCTCTTACTGGACCAAACCAACAGTTGACTCTTCCTCAGTCTTACTGAAGATGCCAAACCTTCTTCCCATGTTTGGACACCCACTGAGACCAACCAACTGGACCTCTCTGCTTGTGATATCCTAGAACTCTTCTTTTTTCTCTTCTTAGAACTCTGCTGAGCTCAGCTCCAGTTTGAAACCCTTACTGATCTACCCCATTCATTCATTCTTATTCTTTCACCACTGCTCTCTTCATAGGGCACAGGATATCAAGGCAAATAAATAAGGCCAAGTCTTTGACTTTAAAGAACTTGCAGTTTAGAGGACATAGCCTTGCTATTTTATTCACTTTTGCACCTCCTCACCATCAATGTGAATCCATATTTGCACAATAAATATGTTCCAAAAATGTTCTGTAGATTGGGGAGGGAGAGTGAGAGTATTTCCAATTTTAACAGCATAATTTGACTTGTTATATAAAAGACATGCTTCATGAATACCTTTTAATCTATAGTCATGTACCACTTAACAACCAGTATGTTCTGAGAAATGAGTCATTAGGCAATGTCATCACTGTGTGAACATCACCAAGGGAACATACGCAAACCTAGATGGTGTATCCTGCTCCACTCCTAGACTGCATGGTAGAAACTATTGGTAGAACCTACAAACTCGTATAGCATGCTACTGTACAAAACAACCACGGTTAGGTCAAACACAAGAGAAAATAATGCGGTCAAGAAATGCAGTAAACAGGAGCATTATGAGGCTGCTGCCCTTATAGTATAGCATGTTTTACAGTAAACTTGGCTTTTGTAAGTAGAAAGAATAAATTCTAAAATACTGCTAAAAGTGTAGTATGGTGAATACATAAACCAATAACATAGTCATTTATTATCATCATCAAGACTTATGTACTGGACATAATTGTAGATGCTATACTTTTATACAACTGTCACTACAATGGGTTTTTTTATACCAGCATTGCCACAAATATGTGAGTAATTGCATTTCCCTATGACTTTACAACAACTATCACGTTACTAGGCGACAGGAATTTTTAAGTCCCATTATAATCTGCCGTATATCCAGTCCATCACTGACCCAAATATTTTTATGCAGTGCATGGCTTATGTATAATAAAGCTAATTACTCCCCATATTTTCTAATTTTGTAAGTTTAATTTTTCAATCAGGAATTTTCTAAATGAGACTGTCGTATGCCCATATACTTGAGTTTCTTGACCACCCACATAGAGTGTGTATGTGTGTGTGTGTGTGTGTGTCTGCAGATTAAATACATTTGTTCTTGCAAGATTATAAGGATAATGACTACTCTTTATTATGTATCGTTTCATATTGGCTAGAATAGTGCCTGGCCCAGGGGGATAATAAATAAACACTCTTGACTGACTGACAGGTTTCTTTATTGGAGTCACTTACATTCTCCCTGGAATTTCAGCATGAAGATTGTATTTGAAAAGTTACAGATGATCTAGAATAGTACTCTATCTCTGTGTTTTACCTCATCCACGTTCTACAGATTGACTTGACAATCCCCTTATAAATAAAGCCAGGCGTGACGTCTAGACAAAATCACGTCCACATTGCCTGATTTCCCTTCGATGCACTCGCACTGTTGTTTCTTACACTGCTCTAGCCCTTAGTGCAGTTCATTTCTTTTAACACGTCATCCGCTGCCTGTCTTCCTGCTCTATTTTGCTTATAAAACATTCTTAGAAGGGTGAGCTCCTTGAATTGAAAATAAATTTTGTATAATCAGAAGTCTGCACAATTAGTAAACAATATATTTTTAATGAATATGGCTTTGTTTTGGCATAAAGCACTTTCCTTGAGGAAAGGCATCTGTTCTGCCAACCAAGAGAAAATAATTGTGAACATTCTTTGTGGTTTTCATGTTTTCTTAAACCTTAGGAAGGAGTGCCCACTCTGGCTGATCGCCTGAGGAGTGTTACCTACAAACTTCTGTTGAAGGGTATGGTAGAATGTACTTCGTTCTTAACAATAATTTTGGGGAGGGTGGGTGGTGTCACTGCTAAATTTTTAAAAAGTGGATTAAGATTTAAAGCAGTGTGCCCACTTAGTTAGTTCTTTAACACCCAGGAAGGCAAGAACCACCAAAATGTGTTTTTCTCTCAGAAAATCAGATATTAAAAGTTTTCTGGTTTTCTCTTCTTCTGATTCACTCCCAACACACACACACACACACACACACACACACACACACACACACTTTGTCTCTCTCTCTCTCACAAGTATACATGCAAAATTATTTTCAGACTTTCCCTAGAACATTTTAGGGGTTGTGTGTGTGTTAAGCATGTGTTTCTGACGTTCAGAAAGTTCTGATCTACTTAAATGCCCACTATAGTTCCAGAATGGCAAATAAGCAACATTTATACATCCATTTAAATAAGGCAGGGGGTTGGGGGTGTCATTAGTAAGCAAATTAACTGCCCACTGATCACAGCAGGAATAAAGACTGTTGGCGGGGGAAGAAGTGCATAGTCTCTCTTAGAATTATTTTTGGCTCTCTCCCCTTTTCCAACCACTCCATCTTTAGAAACATATGACTGTGCTATCTCTCTATCTAGGATATATGAATACTCTATTTTTCCTACCTAAAAATAATAAAACATTCTTTTTCTTTTGTTTTATTCTTTTAGATCAGTCACCTTTACCTCCCAGTGGAACAGCTCCTAATCTGAAAAAGGCTCACTCACTGCAGCAAATGTTAGAGGCCTGTGCTAAGTAAGGCCCTGCTTCCAAAGGAGCAGACTTTCGTGGGGAGAGTTTGGAGATGGGAAGTCAGAGGTATGTGGTCAGGAGAACTAGGCGATGAGGACTGGCCTTTATATGGCCTGTTGTGGTTTTCGCTGTTGAAGCAAAGTTACTGCTTCTTTTTGGAAAGCATGGTTGAGTCTGCAAAACAATTTTTTTCTCAAAATCTCAGAAGGACTCATCTGACTCAGAATTCAGAAGGAGTTAGTAGTCAGAAAGAGCTCCAAAGAAAGAGGAGGCCTGGTGACCTTTGAACCATCACCACAACAAAAGATCATTTCACTGGGAAATGGAAGGCCAGGGATTTGGTCTGGCTTTACCACTAACAAACAGGACAACCTTGATCTAGAAATCCTCTCTGCCTCTTTGCTCTCCAGGAGAAATGTACACTGGATTTGGTCTTAATCCTCTTACTGCTATGGAATTTTTTGCTTCTCTGAGCTACTACAGATAGTGATGGCACTAGTTTTTTTGTTTGTTTGTTTGTTTTTTAACTTAATTATGTTTCTATGATAATGCATGACTGGAACAATAATTTCCAGCCTCAACTCAAAGGTGTGTTGGTGGCTGTCAAAGATGACAAACAGGTAAGTCTCCCTAAACTTCTCCAGCCGAGGCCGTCTTTCATCTACTATTATTATGCTGTGGAAAGACAAGTCCTACTAATAACCAAAAAGAAGGAGAGGAAAACAAGTTTAGAAATCACTGATTAGAGCAAGTATCAGGAACTTTATTGAATTCCAGGGAACTAAATAAATTATGTGTGGCTGTCCACATTTTAATTTTTAATATTTGTTTGGTGTCCTGGTAACAACATCAAAAGAGGCAAAGTGTGCTCCCAAGGTAAGGAATAGAGCTACAAGTGAGCTGTAAAGAATAAGGAAATCATATTATTATGAGCCCAGAACAGATGACCACTCTCCTACTCTTGCATAGGATCACACAGGAAGACTGTGAAACAATGCTAAGAGCAAGGGGCATCCCTAAAAATGTGAACCTCAGCCAGACACGAGGTTTGGTCACGTTCTCTGGTCAATAAGATGTCATTTTTCTCTCCCTTGAAATCATGTATAGGATATGAAAGCTGTTGTCTACATTGTGACAAATCACAGTTAAGAGGTCAGGACACAGCTACAGATCTGCCTTTCTCAGATAGTGACCCTCTTATTTCAAAGGTCATGGGAGAAGGACCCTTTCGCTTTGTGGTC